ATTTAGAAGGCAATTACTCAGCTATTCGATGTTTTACAGACCCCCCTCCTTGCCCCCACTGGGGGCTCCAGGGGCGTCGGGCATACTTATCAGTGTCAGAATTGAAATCCCCGACCCCAAAAACCCCCGAGTGGAAATTTAGAAGGCATTTACTCAGCTATTCGGTGTTTTACAGAAGGCCCTCCTTGCCCCCTGGGGGGCCCCAGGGGCATTGGACATACGTTTCAATGTCAGAATCGAAATCCCTGACCCCAAAAACTCCCGAGTGGGGATTTAGAAGGCAATTACTCAGCTATTCGATGTTTTACAGAAGGCTCCCCCTTGCCCCACTGGAGAGCCTCAGGGCCTTCGGGCATATTTTTCAGGGTCAGATTCGGAATCTCCGACCCCGAAAACCTAATTTCTACAACTTTTAGTCAATTTTTACCATTTTTAGAAAATTCGGAAAAATTGATGCACTCCAAGATGCACTTTATGCACCCGCAATGCAGTTTCGATCCAGCCCCAAAGTGTAATATATAGACTTTTTTCCTGATATTTTTCCGAAGACAATGTCGAAAACCGCAACTCGATCGGTTCACCAGAAAAAAATTGCTGATTTATTGTCTAACTTGCCTGATCTAATACTCCAAGTGTTTTTCGAATCCAAAAAAATAGTAACGCTGCATAAGATTATACACCAAACCGACCGATTCCTCATAGACAAACATTGGCCTCGGTGGAAAGAAGGCTTCACGAAACTAGTAAAATTCAGCCCAATCCTGAGAGTGTCGGAAGAAGGCGTAATGTCCGAAATGTTGAAACTGAGGAAGCTATACCTACATCTAGATCAAGACTATGGTACAAGCACAAGATAGGTGTACAAGTCTTGTGTGGAATGTAGCTCATGAAAATCTTTTATACCCATTTCACCATCGACCCGTGCAAGAATTGAATGATTTACTGACCGCGTGGATTTTTGTCAATGGTACATTAATATCTACAGGCATGACTTAAATTTCCTAATGAATATACTTTTCAACGATGAAGCAAATTTTTTCTAAAGTAGGAGCAGTAAACCTTTATAATGTTCATTCATGGTCGGAAGAAAATACTAATGAAATTTGTTTCAAGATGTCAACATAATTTCAATTTAAACGTTTGGATCGGAATTGTAGGAAATACTCTAGTAGGTCATTTTATTCTTCCACACAAGCTTGGAGAGGCCGAGTATCTTAGATTTTTGTACGAAAATCTCCCAACATTACTTGAGGATGTACCCCTCGCTATACGTCAGGTGATGTGGTATATGCACGATGGGGCGCCTGCACATAGTACACTTGCCATTAGAGAATGGTTAAATTTAAATTACCCGAATCGCTGGATNGTTCAGGTCTGGCACCCTTGTTCCTACAAAAATTCCTTTATTCTCATAAACTATTTATTTTAAATGTAATTTATTATAAATCCAATTTGTTTCCTAAATTTAACATATGCACTACATTTTACCTCTGTACGCGCCACTGTTGTTTACTTGTTTTTTGGAAGCGCTCTCTAATTGACGGCAAAGCAGTTCGTACACTCGATGCACCTGGGCGACTACAGCTACTACCAGAACACAGTGCGTATGCAGCGGTATTTCAGATTTTACATTCAATTTCATTTTAAATTTGAAATGATTTATTTTACGCCTCCGAAAAATGATGACATGATTTTCCTTTGATAAAAGGCCGACAATTTTTTGCTCTACTTTGCATCGTATACGATCCTACTATAGAATTTGTGATTATAATATAATTTACAATTACTTTAAATACATATTTTAAAAATGAAAATATATTTTTTTCTTTAAAATATTTAAATATAAATATTTTTTGTTTCGAAAGAGGTTTCGAAAAATTGACAAAATTGTTACATTTTATTGTCGCTGTTACTAAAAGTCTATTAAATTTTAAAATTCATATTGTTGTCTCTAAAATATAAGTAATATAATATAATTCGGTTCTCATTTAGAATTTGTGATTAGAAACTTTACCAATTACCTACTATAGTAAAAATATGTTAAAAATGAAAATATATTTTTTTCTTTAAAATATTTAAATATAAATATTTTTTGTTTCGAAAGAGGTTTCGAAAAATTGACAAAATTGTTACATTTTATTGTCGCTGTTACTAAAAGTCTATTAAATTTTAAAATTCATATTGTTGTCTCTAAAATATAAGTAATATAATATAATTCGGTTCTCATTTAGAATTTGTGATTAGAAACTTTACCAATTACCTACTATAGTAAAAATATGTTAAAAATGAAAATATATTTAGTTGTCTTTAAAATATTTCTGTATTTCGGTTCTCAATAGGCAAGAGATAAAAAATGATAGGTTTGAAAAAAGTATGTGAAACTTTAGAATATATGACCATTTACCATTATTTTAAATATTTTAAAAATGAAAATATATTTTGTTGTGCCTGATACCATATTTTGTTGTTATTAATAAACATATATTAGAAATTGAAATACATGCTATTGCCATTAAAATTTTAAGAGAATCGACAGTACCTTTTAAAAATAGTGTAGACATATCAGACACTTACCTGGAGATCCATCTCTGCTAATTAAATTATACAGGGCGTCCAAAATGTAGCTGAACTTCGATATTTTTGTGATAGAACTTAGAGGAGCGGGAAGGATATACAGGAATTTGATAATACTCGGGTTTATAACTGAAATTCGAACAGAAATGCATAATCATTCTATTGCTTACACATATAATATACTACACAAACAGTATAGTGAAATATAGTACATATATTTATACGTCCCCTAGATCTATAGTAAATAATCTCTAAAATCTAAGGAGGTAAGTGTTAAAAACAGTCTATTCTGCTAGTTGCGAAATGAGAAACATTCGAAACACCTGAATATCAATAAGACTCGCCTAAAATAGGACGTTTTTTTAAAAATAGTATGTACACGGTACACAATGTTATTTTCAGAAGAAGAAGAGGAGCACTGCGTAAAGAATAGTGCGAAGGACCAATAAAAACAGTATTTACATTCAGTTTTAGCTTAAAATCAGGTCAAACATCGACATATATACATCTCTATATACAACCGTTCAAATAAACAATATAACTTTAACAATGAAGAATTGGTGATTGATAAAATTTTTAAAAACTCAAATATTAAGTCTTATAAAAGGGCGGAGGGGACGAAATAAAAAGGAATGTCATTATTTCCTTTTTTAAAGTCCACGCCCGTCCGTAGAGGAACTTAGGAATATGCGCGGAGAACTTAACAGCTACATTAAAAATAAACAGCAACATAAATAATATCGATATTGTTTAAACAATAATAAAAATATGTACGGTGCGACTGTAACCAACAACAAGGTGCATTTTGCGGCATATACAATGCCACCAACTAACTAAAATCATACTCAACAAGTCCCTCGATGAGTGACGACCAAGCAGTTGTAAACAAAAGGTCGTTCCATTACTCGATACCGGCGTGACGTCATAAAAGAACCGCTGAAAGCTAAAATGCGATCAATAACAATGAAACGGTTTTATTACTCAACCAAGAACACTTCTATGACGTCATATTGGGTAAGTGACGTTCAATGCTTGTGACTGAAAGGCAGAACTAAACAACAATAAATCGTAAACGATAATTTTAGTACCGAACAGGTGTTCCAAACTACGAGACAATATCATTACACTCTCATGTTCTGTCTATCACAATTCCACGAAATGTTCACCTCCACCGGAGCAGAAAACTATGCATGTAGTTTTTTTAAAAAAATTTGTACTGTGGATTTATTTTTTGTAGCCTAGTCCGAAATTATCACAAAAGATGAGGGGGTACCTTAAACGGAGATCTCTTTCTTCTCTTGCAGCTTGGATTCTATCGCGCTTTTCACGGGAGTCGCCGTAGTCGCTTCCTTCTGTGCCGGAGATGGCGTGGAGTTGGTCGAAACGCTCTGCGTCGTCTTCGTCGCTTCGCCGCTGCTCTGCTGCATCGTTGCGATCTGTGACAGCCTGTTCTGGTTCTGCTGCCTGATCAGCAGACTCGGATTCGGGATGTTCCTGATGTTTTGGTTCTGGTTGGGCCTCAGGTTCCTGATTTGAGGGTTGGTGGGTCTGAACTTTTGTATCTCGTTGAGTTTAGGTATTTTCTGCAAGTTGGGTGCCTTCATTTGCCCGGGATTTTGTAACGAAGGCACCTTCAAGGTTTGTAAGCTCGGCATCTGCGGCCTCGGTTTGTTCAAGGCCATGGTGTTCTGTGGGGTCTTGTTGTTCAAGTTAGAGTGCTCCGTCGCTACTTTAGATAACATTTGAAGGTTGGATAACGCTATGTTGTTTTTCTCGGATCCTGTGGTGGTGGTCGGCCTGGACAAGGCGTTCAACTGTCTACTGACTAAATTGAAACCGTTAGGAACGTCTAGTTTTGGAGAAATTTTGGAAGAATTGTCGGGGGACATGCTGGTTTTGGACAGATCCAAAGCCCCGATGTTGTCGCACCTTTCTGGTAGTTTCGGGATAATGCTGATCCCGGACTTTAAGTTAACGGACTTCTTTATCCTGTCCAAAGGAATAGTTGCAGGTGGAGGACGTTTGACGGGTGGTTTTTCAGGTGGTTTAGAGCTCTGTTGGGCAGGACTCGAAGTAGGAGGGTTTATTAAAGTGATTTCTAAGCTTGGTCTGTTATCTTGCATTGCCTCGTCCTCAGCTTTCCTCTTAACTCCTTGTTCTACTTTGCTCACTGTGAAACCAGCTGGGTAATGGGGAGTAACCATTTTAGGTTTCTCATTGACAAAGTTCATTTTCTTCTCTATTTTTTCTGGAGGTTTGGCCTCTATGGTACAGTGTTGCTGTAGGTTGGCAATCTTCCTTTCCAAACTCTTGTTATTGGCGGTAATTTTGTTATTTTCGGTCTTAATTTGTATCAATTTATCCTTGTTGAGGTTGACGCTGTTCAGTTTTGCTTTGGTATTCTCGATTTTGTTTTGCTGCAGCTTCTCGTTCCGCTGGTATTTTTCGGCATAAGTCTGAAATGTCTTAAGAAAGGTCTTCTGAGCTTGTTTTTCAGTCTGTTCGTTCCTCTCCAGTTGAACTGTTGGTACCTTTTTGACCCAATCTTTCTCAATCGAGTTCTTTAAGGCAAAGCCCGGTTTGGAACTAGTGGGTTCCAAGAACGTACCTATCTTTGGAGAGGTGCTAACGCCTTCACTCTGTTGTTTGGGTAGCACTGCTGACTCAGACACACTACTAGAAGGTTCCGTCACCTTTATCTTCAACTTGGCGATGTCTTCTTTGATTTTTGGGGATTTTCTAGGTTCTTCTGTAGATTCTTTGATGTCAATTTGCTTTTCTTCAACTTTGGATTTGTCTCCGGATTCTATTCTGATCTTCTCGGTGCTGGTGCTAGAATCTTTAGATAGTTTTATACTAGGTACAGTTTGGATGTTTTTGTCTTCGCTAGACACATGTTTATGCCTAACTTGGCGCATCTGAAGTAGCTTTTCCTTAGAGCTAACGTCTGAGGTTTGAGTCTTTTCATTTACTTGCCCAGAACTCTTGTGGTGCTTGTGCTTGTGACCGTTATTTGTGATTTTGACCTTGAGTTTCAGTTCTTCTTCATTAGAAGCTATCTCAGCGTGAAGTTTTCTCTTTTTATGCAGGTTGAACTCGTTTTTTGAGTGTTTACTTTTTTTTCTCTTCTTGGAGAAATGGTGACTGACGTAGTCTTCGTCTTTCCTGGTTTCATCGTCCAGTTTTTTCTGCAAGGCCCACTCCCTGTCCCTTTTCTCGGCGAACCTCTTAATCTCCTCTTGGTCAGGTTCCTCGTATTCAAACACGCAGTCTTTAATCAGGGGTTTCTCAGGTACTTTCTTGTCTTTCTCCACTTGGGACTTGCTCTGCAGTTGAAGATGGGCGAACAGCCTTTCTTTGTCGTTCTTTTGGTCCTCGCTTTCTTCCAAGTCTTTATCCCTGGATTTTTCCACATCCAGTTCCGGTTTCGCTTCCGGTTTCACTTCCTCGGCTGGCTTGGTAGTAGGATCGGGGCTCGGCTTGACGGGAACTATCTGCAATTGTCTTCCTCCGGTGGATAAAGTGGTGTTGACGATTTTGATAGGTCTGACCTTCATCGGCGTGAAGATACGGTAGAAGAACCTCATTGGTTTCATCTGAAACAAAATAAATTCGACTTTATATCCAGGAATACATAATTTATGGAAAATAATATATAACAGGTCTCGGAGTGGGTCCTTGAGCCGCACCCAAAAAAAAAAAGATTTAATTTATTTCGATTACTTGTTACATTGGTACATTTAATACATTTAAAGTAGCAATGTCTTCAGAAACGATGTAGGTAGGGCTGGAAAATGTTTATTCATGGCAGATAGACCACCATGCGAGTTTTTACAATAATAATTGGTCGTAATTCTAATAAAACTGCTTCTCAGAATGAGCGTATTGTTAGAGTAAGCAAAATATGTACGCGCCATTTGGTTCAACAACCTAATGTTTATAATAACAAATGCTGCTACTATGACGCGGTGTAGCTATAAAATGCGTTGTAAAAATTACTTTATAGGATTATTTTTAAGAGTTTTGTATTGTGCACGAGTTAAATTTAATTCGTGTTTGTTTATAATATTGACAGTTTAAGTAAACAACGATTTTCTTGTTAGTATGTATTTATTTTTCTCATGTTAGTCATTTATTGGACAACAAAATAAACCCGTGCGCCAATATTTTATTTAGTTTATTGTTTTTTTTTATTTGAACATGTCTAAAACAAACTTTTTCACGTAATAAATTATTGTTACAAATGTTTAAACTAGTTTCTGGACCATATGTGAAGGACTGAAGACCTAGATTTTTCATTGGATCATTTGTGAACATTGCAAACAATAAAGGGCCAAGTACAGTGCCCTGCGGTACACCAAAGCGATTTCCGTCCGTTTTGTGTCCGTTCCAATTAGGGGGGATTGTTTCCTCTTATGTAAATGTTTTCACGCCCTCGTCAATGGAATAAAACTGAGATCCGCCCGCCCCCGTAACCGAAATCTGGCGGCGGCCGACGGGGACGATCGGATCTATTAAAAACTTCTCCAGACCGATTTCCAGCCGGACGGAACGGCATCGTCGTCGTCGTGGGACTAAAAATAGTCGCCTTAACGGCCGAGAGGAACGAAAGCTGAGGTCACGGCGGTCTATCCCGTACGCGCCGGGCGCTAATTGTCGCGGCAGCGCCTCATTTGCATTTGAATGGGCGCTGCAACGGGGCGCTTCCACAAACAAAAGACGGCCGAGTCGCCAGGTTGCTACGTGAACACGGGATTTAATCGCCGACCGGGTGCCGCCTTGTTTTCTAATCAACTCACCGGCGTTATACGGATGTTTACGACGGGAAATCCCCAGCGGAACAGGTCAATTTAGTACCAAGTTTCGGAGTTGCGGGGTCTTGTCAGCGGCGAATAAAAGGAGACCAGTCCCGGGGGTTAAAAGTAGCCAGAGGTTTCGACATTTCGGAGTTATAGGTACTCATCAGCGAAATAACATTAAAAAGGATGTAAAAACCAACAAATAAAATCTATTTAAGATATGTTTACAATGATGTCACAGAACAATAGAAAATATTAACTCTCTGCCGTTTTGCCAGTGCCAGTGCAGAGCATTGCTTGGCGGGGTATGTTGTTGGTATAATACGTATTATTATTTATTAGTTGATATTATTAATTGTTCATATAGTAACCAGTAAAGGGTAATAGTTATTAAAATAAATGTTATATGTAATTATCTAGTAATTTAGCGTGGCTCTCTGGAGACTCTTTGAAGCGGAGGATAACGAAATAACTCTGGAAAATCCCCAAATAGTGGAACCGGTTTTTGTCGAAAGTATCGACACAAACTCAGAATTTAAAAACAAAGATTTACACGTAAAAAGTCAACGTATTATATTAAATATAATGTTTGAAAATTGAAAATAGTGAACAATGTGACAAAAAAAGTTAGGAAATGTATTAACGAATTAACTAAGATATCAAAAACGACCACATTTATTGCGTAATTAAAGAAGGATTGATCACGGTACAAAGAGGAAACGAAAAAATACAAAATTAAAGAAAATTGACGATTTTACCAGATTTATTGCGGCGCCCAATTTATAATATGTAGGTATAAAGAAAATAAAGTTCCTACTTTAAACATGATTCGAGATAAATTAAGCGATTATCCTGATTATAATTATAAATCTTTAGGTATTTTACGGCATGCTTTATTACAATGCGATTTTAAACATAAAAACTTGACAATCGTATGGTAATTATGGTAATATAGCTCGGAATATAGTACCTATATCTAGACGAGACAGGAAATTTTTCTGGACGTCTATGGATTCCGTAGAATTTATGAGTTCAATGTTTTTATGCGGTTCCAATTCAGATCGTAACAACTATAACAAACTGGGTTCGCTATCAAAGATTAATTTTCTTAAATATCCTGAAGAAAATTACAACCTGACAATGCTGCACCGTTTCGCGCTGACGTCATTGCAAACTTATCGTAAATGGACTATATGAATGTATCTATCCCTCCCAATCGAGTTGGTCGTGGAATCGGAAGAGGAAATAAAAAATAACGAGAGGCATTCTTCTCCACCGTCTCCTGTTCAAGCTGGGCTGCCGGGGACAGGTAGGAGAAACAGAGAGGGTGCCCTGCCGTTTTGCGATTCCTTTAATGTTGTGTTTCTGTCCTTTTTCGCCCTAGAGATCGCTTGGAAAGTTATCATGTGGAATGTTCTGTTGGGGAAACTCCGACAGTGATACGGAGTGGCCCAAGAAATGACGGTAGATATTTGGTGGGTTTGGTTTCGACAAAATATATAGGTAATTGGTATTTGGAGCTATGGTTAAACGTTTTTTATATAAGATGGGGCATGATAATCAGAAAAATTCCATTGCTTCACCGTTTACCTGGCGTTGTTACAAACTTCGACCTACTACACAGCAGGAGCGTGCTGTCCAGGGAAACAAGGAAAACATTGCTTCCATAACTTTATTAGTATTACAAATTATATGTAACTGATTATTTATTGCTTTCATAACAATTAAATTTGCTTCAGGTTTCGCAATGGCGGATATTCTCTCCCCTCTTAAAACTTTCGCCGTTTACTCGACACGAGATAACCAGTGGCGTGGAAGCAGTTTAAAACGTTGCCAATAATGCATTATCAGGTTTCTTGAACTTAAAGTTACGCTTAGAATCAATAGTTAAATTGCTTATTACAAGTTACGAAATAGGGCCGTACTACTCGTAGTTATCGTCATTTTGGCATTTTTTTCACGTATGTAGTTAATATTGCAAACTTAGATTAGATGATCTTTTTTTTTAATAATCTTTAATATTATTTTAAGAAATTCCAGCGAAGTATGATCAGCAAATATTTTATTAGAGGTGCGCTATTTAATGACTATACAGGGTGTTTATTAAAGAACGGGCCATACTTTAGCTTCCATGGATGAAAATAAGGTGATTTAAATAAACTTACTTTGGTTCCATCTTGTTTCCTTAAGAAGTTATAGGCCCGAGAAAGCTGTTTTTAAATTTCACTTTTTATGATAATTTATTTATTGTTTGTATAATTTTACTCAAATTTTGGAAAAGTAGGTTATTTTGCGTTATAAACAGGAATATCTGCTGTTTTTTTTTGCGATAAATATTGCTTCCTTCAGATTTTTTTTAAATCGATATATTTAGAAACTAATTAGTTATTTTACAACAGCATTCGATTTGCTTTAAAAAAAGGCATGTCGCTGAAACGCACCGTCTTAGAGAATATAACGTTTAATGTAGGTACATAATTTAAGTTTGAAAATAATACATAAATTACAATATAAATTAATTCAAAATGTTGTTACAGTAAACATGAAACATACACAGAAAAATATGACAACATGAAAGATGCATTTAAAAATAACAAAATAAAAAATAATCATTTAGCACCTAAATGTAACAGAAAAAACAATGTTTCTTTTAAATTTGATTTTCGAGATGTCCGCCATTTGCTTCAATGTATTTTTGACATCTCTTTAAGAAATTTCTTCTAACTGTTAAGAATATCGGAAGGATATGCCTAATATCATTTGCTGGTGCCACTATTTTTTGCCACAATTCATTTCTGGTGTTAACAGTAGGGCCAGAATGAACCAGAGTTTTAATATATCCCCATAAATAGAAATCCAGAGGATGCAAATCTGGACTTCGTGGAGGCTATGTATGTTCACTCTCTCGTCCAACCCACTGATATGGAAACACGCTATTTAAATGAATTCTTACTGCTAAAGTAGAGCATAGCAAGTAGCATATCGAATAAGTTATTCTGGAGAAAGTTTAAGTAATGTCCATTCAATGTTGCTGGAAGTTCAAAAGGTGATTTTCGACTAACCGAACCAAACATTGAATTTAAATTCGTGCTGGAAATGACGCACACTCCTACAGTTTGGATTTTCTTCGGACCATGCGTGTGACAATTTTTATAGTTGAAAATTCTTCTTATAAATGTTGCCTCATCAGTAAATAGAATTTTACTTATAAAAAGTGGATCTTGTGTGTTTTTATTCGAACACGAATTCACAGAAGATGCCCTTTTTAAAGCAAATCGAATGCTGTTTTAAAGTGACTAATCATTTTCCAAAAACATTGATCCTTAAAAAAAATCTGAAGGAAACAATGTAGTGACAAGCGCACTCAGAACGCCCTGTATATTTATTGCAAAAAAACAAGCAGATATTCATGTTTATAACATAAAAAAACTATTTTTCCAAAATTTGGGTAAAATTACCCAAATAATAAATAAACTATCGTAAAAAAGTGAAATAAAAAAACTACTTTCAGGGGCCTATAACTTCTTGGAAGCAAGATAGTACTAAGATAAGGAGTATTAAGTATTTTATAAAGGAGTGAAACAGTTTGCAAATTATTTATATAAGCAAATTCTTTATTTAAAAATATTTATTGAGAAGACTGATTTATTGCGCAACTTTTTTACCTCTTGTAATTTTTCAATAAAACCGATAGTTTTCTAGTAAAAAAATAGATGCGTAATCGTTCTCTAAAGGGGTAATTGCGAAAACTTAAAAGTAAAAATAAAGTAAGCGGATGTCATAACAAATAAATTGTT